GGAACAGAATTTAAACAAAAATCTCGATTCACATCTTAACGTGACTTACAAAAGCATTATTGCAATACCGGTCCTTTAACGGATAATACCAGCGTTTTGTTAAGCAGCTGCTCTCTTTATATGTATCCATAGCGTCGCAGCTTTGGCATACGGCTATGGGCTGTAATAAGAATTACAATTGTACTAACAGAGTAACATTATCATTATTTTATCTCCTCGTAGGATGTGGATATAATCACTATTAGTATTACTATTGTTATTATTATCATGGTCATTTTTACTATTACTAACACTATTATTTCTATTATTATTACCTTGTAATTACTAGTCTTTCTATTTCCTATCCTTCTAATCACCCTATTGTCACTACCACTCATTCTCTACTATCATTATTACTATTCTCTCACCCCCACATAGGCTGTGAATATGAGGACAAGATATACAAGGATGGCGACCAAATAACCTTCGGCTGTAAGTTGCAACAATGCAAAAATGGAGATTGGACCTTTGTCTCCGTTGATCCAAACTGTGAGTTCAAGACGAAGAATGCATATGTTTTGAAAATTCCCACGCACACATTACTCACTCACTCACTCTCACACACACACACACAAATGACAACAGAGGGTCTCGCTGATGAATATACCGCGCACTCATAGTCCATTTTGCAACAGAAACATTGCACCGCCTCTCCTCATGACAAGGGAGAAAATACACGTAAGATCAATCTATGTAAAGCTTTAGATTTATTGAAAGACCCAAGAGCCTGACCATGCAAACAAATTGCAGTGGATCTGAAAATTCTATTCCATTGTTGTTGAACATTATGTACAATTAGCCGTATGCGTTTTACACTACGAGTAAGATCTCCCTTTGATAGTACAGTGTGAAAGTGGCTATATGCAAACTACGCAGGTCAGCCTATGTAATGACTTTGTCACTGGTGGAATTAACAGACAAGATCACACATTAGAAACTCCCTTGCAGCAAGTTGTGTGGATGATCTGCACTTGCGATGGCAGTTTTGCAGAACTTATCCCATGCCTCTGCCAGGAGAGTTTCAGAGTTAATAAAGGAGGGTATACAGTCTCCTCAGAGCCTATCTGTAAAGATTTATGATCACAATAGTAGGATACCATTTAGTGCTTTCTTTACTTTGACAGCTGTTGGCACTCATCAAATCACTATGGTTCCAGAGGTAATGCTGAGCGTTGATTAGAGGCTTCTTGAAAACTTTGGAACCGTTCTAAATACGTAGTGTAAAATAGTCTCACATAAGAATATTCCATTAAGTCTCGGGGAATCACACACCACTAGCTATTTAGTCCCTAGGGCGATCAGACAGTATGTGCAGGTGATGACACATCACTCTCTCTGTGGTAAGGATAGCTATCAATAAAGATAAAAAGCGCTTGGGTCAGTGACTGATAATCATTCGGTGACCAGAATTCTCTCATGTGAGATGTTTCCATATTCATATATCCACGAAGGTTTCAGGAGATTTACTTTCAACTGACTCTGAAGTAAATAAAATTGTAATCACGGTGTACAGAAGTATTTGTGATAATCACCCAATACTGTGGCAGTAGAACAATCTGCGCTGTGCTGACTGCATCATATATATAATATTCGCCTTAAAAGACCAAATGACTGGAATGACCAGGCTGAGGTCAAGCTGATCGTCTATCAGGAACAAACGGTTAAAAGAGTGTGGAGCATTCCCGGGACCCCTATCCATTAGCACCATTCACGACGAGCTCATGGGAAAGTTTTTCCCCGACCCAAGTTGGAGCTAGCGGGACAGTTCACGATTTTAGAATTATTCCCTTCCAATATGGGTCGCCCACAAGGAATTCTTTAAGAATGATCATAAACATTTTGCTATTTTCATCATTGCATTCAAACAACCACATTTTCCCAGGAGCGGAGCAATAACATATGGGAAGGAGTGTGCAGTAAGAGCCTCATATTGCTTTGAGATCTTTCAGAAAACCCGACGTAATTCCATCAAGACCGGCTTTACCTGTTATCAGTGTCATCCATATATTACAATGGATATTAATAACCTACAGTAGTCATTATCATATTGTCAGCATTACCTGTATTTTTGGTCAGTTGTTAGCATTTCTGTGTCATTGTTTTCATTGCTAGTATCATTATTATCAACACTATGTGATTTGACTCCTATATTATTCTCTCCAGGTTGTAGCGAAGGCAACAAGGTACATCCGGAAGGGACAACGAGGAAAGTTAACTGTATAATTGAAGAGTGTATTGGAGGAATGTTTGTGGACACTGGAAATAGTGACCCTGACTGTATGTAATATTTCTTCTTTATGTATGAATAGGAACATTAATGAAACTGCAGACACATACCTTTCATTCATGTCTTACGTTTGTCCTTTTGCATATGACGTCGGGAAACTAAAGATTGGGACGAACTTCCAAGCACACTAATAAACCTGGAATGGCCATTACATTTGTGATTCTCATGTACTAA